CACTGAAGAGAGACATTGCAATCATGGCTGCAAAAATGACAAGGCTCAACAGATAGCTCAAAGCTCTCCTGAGTGCTGGGAATAAATGTCCATGTCACTACACTTACCGATGAATATGCAGAGACATCTCTCCCAGACAGAGACACAAGTGACCAAGAACACACAGAAGACATGTGGTATTGCCCGCTCCTTGGAAAACATAAATCAAAACCATGGGGAGACCCCACGTCACAGCTACTAGAATGGCAACAGAAGTTTTTTGTTTATAAAACTTTTTTCCATAAAAAAGTCTTTTTTTTTTTTAATGGAAAATACCAAAAGTCGTTGAGGGTTTGGAGTAAATGGAGCTTTGTGGTTTTGGGTGGAAAGTGGTACCCATATGGAAAAGCCTAGTGCTCCTTAAACAGACAAGCATGACACCACTACGAGGCTTAGTCATTCTGTTCCTAGGTATACTCTCGAGAGACTCCAGACCATGTGCTCACGTAAGACTTCAGACAGGAATGCTCATGACAGCATTTTTTTTAAATGATAACTGAAAAGTGAGGGGGAAAAATCCATGCGTTGGCAGAAGAATGTACAAACATGTGTGGTCTAACCGTGCAATGGAATATTATCCAGTCATGCTAAGGGAGAGAGGACTGATTCATGCTGCTGTGCTGATGAACCTTGACTCGTGATGTTCAGGGAGAGGAGGCAGACCGAAGACCACAGCTCATATGATCCTATTTATTGGGGAAGCACAGAGCAGCTAACTTTACAGAGATGAAAATGTTCTAAAACTCATTGTGATGATAGTTGTATATTTCTATGAAGATGGCAAAAACTGATCAGCCACACACTTTAAAAGGGGGAGTTGTATATGCAAGTAGGTAGATGTGTTTCAAGGGTTAAATGCTTAACCAGGGATGGGATTAGAGAAATGGGGGAAAGGATAGATGGGGAGGGTTAACCAAAACTAAGAAGATATGAGAAATCCATATGGAAATTCACCACATTAAAAGCTCATCTTTAAAAGCCAGGCGGTGGTGTGCACGCCTTTAATCCCAGCACTCGGGAAGCAGAGGCAGGCGGATCTCTGTGAGTTCGAGGCCAGTCTGGACTACAGGAGCTAGTTCCAGGACAGGAACCAAAAGCTACGGAGAAACCCTGTCTCGGGGAAAAAAAAACAAAAAACAAAAAAACTCATCTTTAAAAATGCTCTTTTTTTAAAAATATATATTTATTATGTATATAGTATTCTGGGCACCAGATCTAATTATAGATGGGTGTGAGCCATTATGTGGTTGCTGGGAATTGAACTCAGGACCTCCAGAACAGCAGTCAGTTCCTTAACCTCTGAGCCATCTCTCCAGCCCTAAAAATGCTCTTAAATAAATTCAAATGGAGGTACCCTGCATAGGTGGACAATGGTGCTCCTAGAAGACACAGATTATTAAATGAATATCTCAGTGACAGATATGGGATGCCTCCCTATGAGCTGTTAGTCGGGGAGGGCGCAGAGGCTTCCCAAACAGCATGGGCTGTTGCCATTGGTCTTGACTTCCTACCATAACCAAATGATAAGACCCTATTGCTGGAGACACCACACACATTGGGCGTAGGATACAAAAAATAAAACCTGGAACTGACTAAAAAACTTCCTCCCTGCTGTCTAGTTTTCAGGATGCTACAGGGTACTGTGGAGACTGCTGGGGGAGGAGAGACATTGGTGCTCTCACCCTGCAACCCCCTGCATGCTGCAATACTGACCTGTCAGACAAGGTGTGCCCACAGGCACAATATCGGCACGACTATTATGGGATTTACCAGCTGTTTCTGATAGAATCTGAAGCCTGTTCCCTAAGAAGGAATTCAGGCCTGATACTGTAAACTTGATCAAAAGTCCTTGGCTGAGGCATCCATAGACCCTCGGTTGTTTTGCTGAATGGACATATTGTAAAACTTCCTTCTAAATATTTTTATATTTATAACCATAGGTTAGTGCAGCTCTCACCTTAATCGCAGGAGCTTCTTTTTGCGGTGGGCAGCAGTTCATATCGAGACTCATAATAATGAACCAGCCTGCCTCCATTTTAGGTTTGAAAGCCCTCTTACAGTAAAGACAAACTAGGCTCATTCCTATGTATGACTAAACCTCTGTTTGTCAAGGATTGGGCTATGTCCCACATGTAACCTTAACTACAAATGATTCTGTACTGCCTCTTCCAGGAAATCACGTCTTTATTTAAAAAGTTGTAACGATTCTCTTGCAACCCTACCTTTGTTTCAAAAGGTTGTTATGACCACCTTGCTATGTTCTGCTTCTGTAACCCCACCTATTTTTCCCACCAGCCTCCCCCCACCTCTGGTTTGGAAACTCCCTACCTGGTGAGTTATAAAAATTTTGTCTTCCTCATGTCCAGTGCTGACCTCTTGAATGCCACCATAGTGGGAGGCAGCCCGTGTACACAAATAAAAACATTTGCTTCAATTAATTGCTTGCTTTAATTAATTTGGTCATGATGATTCGAGTCAATGGTCTGTCTCCTCACATCTTGGGGATTAACAATAACTGGTCAAAGATCATCACACCTAGTCTTCACAGGGCTCCTAGACACAGCTAGCTGCTGCTCCCGCCCTTCTCCGCACCCCCATGAGGGAGTTCCCAAAGGAGGGGCTGTAGACAGCGCCTTGTATCATCACCCAAGCAGGGCCCACCCTGTGAGTCACTCACTAACATGGACTGAGGAACCTTATCACATGCCAGGTGTGGCCAGGGATGATCTTTGACGTCCCCCAAACCATGTAAGCTGTGACGTCATCTGATGATATCTGGGCTGTAGCAAGGGTAAGGTGCAAGGGTCTGGAAAGCCCAGGTTGGCCCTGCTGTCCTGCTATGACCTAGCAGGAGGGACAGTCTGGGGTGACCAAAAAGGAGGCAGACGCTGGCTGCAACCAGCTCCGTGCTGTTTCATGGTGAAGAGTTATGGCATATTGGGCAAGGAAACAAAGATTGATGAGACCAGATGGGTCAAGCCAGCCACCTACCATCACTCAAGAGAGAGCAGCAGGGGAGAGCCAGTCCAGAGTCCACTCACACTGGTGGACGACAAAGTGCTTGTGCCTCCAGCTTTCCTGGGAGTAGGAGGGGCTGCTCCTTCCCTGGCGGACCATGCAGGAGATGCCAGGGCCCTGGAGGTCAGAGGCCTGGGGTAGTGGGTCACTCAGACTGCAAAGACAGACCCGAGGTGTCCCTGCGACTGAATGAGAAGCTATAAAGGGCTAGAGCAGCAGGGGGAGCCACTGCCCTGCCTTTGCAGACTCCCTGGAAGCTTCCAGAAGAACAAAGACAGAGCCCAGAACTACCTCCCTCCTAGAGAAGCTACAGCTGGGGTTTTGCTTTAACTCCAAGCCTCAGTTTCCCTTTTGCACAGGGGACTAAAGCACTGTACACAGTCACGGTAAGGATCAGGTCAGGTGACCATTCAGGATGATGTGATTGAGAGGGGAAAAGATGGACTTGAGACTTCAGACAACATGGATGCAAGTGAAGCCCACTGTCTTTTCCCAGCCTCACTCCGAGGCCCCTGATACTCAGTCACCTCTCAAGCAGGAAGGCGCGGGGAGCCAAATAACACATACAGAACAGCCTGCCAAGCAGCAGCCAGGACCTCTTATACACCATGGAACATCCAAGCCACAAGCCTGAGACTCTGTTTCCACATTTGCACACAAAAAATCTGGAGCAAGGACTGGTCTACCCCTTTGTGGAGAGACAGCAACATCCCCCCCCCCCCGCCCTGCCCTGACCACCACCACCATCTACGTGCTCACACCTGGAGGCCCACCTCCTCTCCCCAGACAATTCTGTCTGATGAGGCCACTCTGCTTCCTGGCCATCGGGCATTGCCTAGACCTCAAAATATGAGAGTTCCCAGGAAGGAGATTGCTCTTCAATCCTGTCTCCCCAGCCCTCCACCAACAGCCATCCACGGACCCATAGAAGCAGAGGCGTCGCCACCCCACGCCATGCCACGCCACACCACACCGCACCACACCATGCCATGCCCTCCAGTGCTGCTGGGAAACTCCAGGCAGGTAGCAGCTTCTTGCCAGGACCCTCCACTTTGTTTTCTTTTTCTTCTGTGTTGCAGATCAGGTTTTCCAGCCCCTGAGACTGTGTATTCAATCTAGGATCACCGATTGGGACAAGGGTGGGTAGGTGTGTGTCTGTTGGGTCCTCTGACTCCTGCAGTCTCCACTGCCAGGGACTTGAGATCCCTGTGACCAGTGCACTCTGCGGCCTGGCCTGGGTCTGAAATAGCTTTCGGTGAATGCACAAGAAGGCACTGTGAGATGTGGGGGTGAGCTGATGGGGGAGGTGAGCTGAGGCGTGGTGCTTTCTGCTCCTGCACTGCCTGGTACCTTGATACTTCCAACCACCCAGAGGTGAGAGGTGCTCAGTCCTCCTTGTAGGAGAAGAAACTGAGGCACATCAGGCAGCAACCAGAGTTCTAGATCTGGGAGAGAGAATAGACCCCTAAGAGAAGGCAGATGCCCCCCCAAGCTGGGGGCATGCCCTCCAGTTGAAGATGGGAGGAGGGGGCACCCAGTTGTTTCCTAAGTATCTGTTGCAATGTCCCCGGGGGAGTGATGCAGACCAGGAGCGGTCTGGGTTTGGGGCCTTGCTGAGAGCTCTCCTGCTCAGGAGGGTAGAGGAGGGGAACCTCTATGGAGGAAGGCTGGGGACAGAATTCAGACTTGTTATGTCTCTGGGATTGTAGTCAGATCCTTGGCTATAACTGGGATTCTCCATGGCAGCTCCCATTCCCCAGGCCCTCATCATGGGCTAGCAGACCTGTCACCCAAAATGCACCCCCCACCAGGCAGGCCTGGAGCAGGAGGCGCCGGGTGGGTCCCCACCAGTCGGGGCGGGGTCCCGTGGGGCTGGGGCGGGGCTGACGGCGGGCAGGGCCGCCCCTTCCAGCGAGGGCGGGCGGCCTTGGCCTTTAAACGCCAGTGGACGGTCGGCAAAGGAGAGGCCCGGGTCAGTCCCCATACCATGTTCTTGCGCTCTTGGCCAGAGTGCGCCTGAGCTGCCCCGGCTTCGGTGTCCCCGCGGGTCTCGCGTTGCCGCCTTTTTACAATGCAGGCGCGCGCGCTGCTTCCCGCCTCGCTGGCCGCGCTGGCCACGCTGGCTGTATTGGCGCTGGCCCGGGAGCCCCCGACGGCGCCATGCCCTGCGCGCTGCGACGTGTCGCGCTGTCCGAGCCCGCGCTGCCCCGGGGGCTATGTGCCCGACCACTGCAATTGCTGCTTGGTGTGCGCTGCCAGCGAAGGCGAGCCCTGCGGTCGCCCCCTGGACTCGCCTTGCGGGGACAGTCTGGAGTGTGTGCGCGGTGTGTGCCGCTGCCGTTGGACCTATGCTGTGTGTGGCACGGATGGGCACACCTATGCCGACGTGTGCGCGCTGCAGGCTGCCAGCCGCCGTGCCCTGCAGATCTCTGGGACACCGGTGCGCCAACTGCAGAAGGGCGCCTGCCCCTCGGGTAAGCTCCATCAGAAATCCTAAGGCTTGTTTTGAGTAAACTGAGGCCCAAGGGGATTCTGCCCGCTCCCGGAGTACCACTGGGCGGCCTTTTAGGAGCAGTTCAGACAATCCTCCAGCTTTCTAAATGGAGAGACTGAGGCCCAAGAGGTAAATGTTGTCCCCAATGACACAGAACAAGTTAGAATTAAAAACTAATGTGGCAGCCTGGTAGTGTCTGGTGGGCTGTGGAGCTCTGGCCCAGAAACTCCTCTGTTTCTTTGAGTCCTCTAGTGGTTTAGAAGGGAGCGAGTGATGAGCAGTCTTTTCTGGTCTTCAATTTCTCCCCTTATGTTTACTTTTCTTCTGTCTATAGCCAGGTGGTCTTAGGAGGGCAGTTTGGGGCTGCAGCCAGTATGTAACTCCTATCCTCGAAGCTCCAAGGGTACAGTGTACAGGGGGAGAATCCTAGGTCAGCCTCCCCTGGTTGGCAGGTAGCTCTCGGTCACTTCTTACCTTACAACGGAACTCTGTACATTCAGGAAACTGCCAGAAAATATGCGTCTTGTCTGGGGCATTGTTTAGGATGCCAAGCTTTGCTCTTGGTAATGGGGACTCAGTGACTGATCCTTAATGCAGCTCAGCCAGCCCCAACCTCATGCCAAATCAGACCCCTGTGTGTCCTTAGCCTGAGGTCAGAATGGGCTCTGCTGGTCACTCAGAGGACACCTGGGAACCAGACAGAGGGTCATGGGGCCATCTCTTGGGTAACAAGGCTGAGTTTTCTCTGTGCTGTGTGGAAGGCATCCTGGAAAAACGCACTGGCATGAGCAGACCCTTGTGGGCGTGGCTGTGACTGGACACTCTGGACGCTCAAGCTGGATGGGGATGGGGTTTGGTGGCTGTAAGCGTAGTGCCAGAGGCTGGCTGTGCCCTGTCAGACAGAGCTGTGTAGCCTTCTGAACACTCAGGTCCTGTGCCCCCAACAGGCTAGGGGGCTGAACATTCTTCCAGGGAGTAGGTATATAAGCCTGGAGGGGCTCTAGACAACCAGAGGTCAGAGAATGAGTGGCGGGCACTGCTCTTTCCTGGTAAGCATCTGCCTTCTCCCTAGGCTGGGTGACCACAGGTGTCTGGAAAGTGTCATGTAGGATTGTATGGACCACATGGGTCAGCCATTTCTGGAGAGTTGGGAGGAGGATGTCCTTATCTGTTTTATGGTATTATAATGAAGTATGGGAGACTAGGCAGGTTATGATGAACAAACATTCATGTCTCAGAGTCTAGGACCTGGAAGTCCATGGTTGAGGCCCAGCCAGGGTCAGTAATATGGTGAGAGCTGTGATCCCTTAAAGGGGAGGATGCTGTATGTTCAAATGCCATGGTGGAGCAGAAGGCAAGGAGCTGGCATGAGTGAGAGGCCCAAAGGGGTGTGGCACCGTTTACAAAGGCCTTAGGCCCCGTTCATAAGTGGGAGGATCTTATAAGGTCTACTCCTAAATTTTGGAGGGGCTTTAAGTTGGTATGGTTGGGATCACAGGCCACACATGAGGGACAGCAGCCCAGTGCTCTCTTTGGGTGGACACCCAGGGTGTGCTGGGTGCTGGTTCTGTGTACCCATCTTGGGTCTTGCTGTCTGAGATGCAGAGGGTTCAGGGTGGCCAGGCACCTGCCCCATCCTCTGCTAATTTGCTGCCATCTTGGTTGTGTTTGGTGTACTCTTCCCCTGGTTTCCCGTGTGGCAGGATACTATTAGCACTGGGCTCTGGGCAGAGACAGGCAGGGATGGAGGGAGCGGGCTCTGCTCTTCACAGACTGAGCCATCTGTGAAAAGTCCTTTCTGTGCCTGGCTGTCCTTTAACTGGTAACAGTGTATGGCATGAAGCAGATCTTGCTAGTGCACTGGAGACTTCTGGACCCGGAAAGGCACAGAGCAGGGAGAGAGGGGAAATTCAGCCTGAGGATCAGGCAGGTATCCATCATGAAGAACTGTGGAAGTGGCTGAGAGTCTGTGGGTGCTGGCAGGACCCCAGGCTTCTAGACCCACATTGCTTCATTTTATTCTGGGTCCTCATCCATAAATGGTCTGATGACAGGCCTGGGAGAGACCCAGCGCAGCTCCGGCGCTACTTCCTGTACTGGGTGCACTATTGCGGTTGTGCAATGAGGCCCCTAAGAGAGGTGCTAACTTGGGACAATGAACGGGGCTCACTGTCAAAGATGGGGAGGGTGGAGAGGCTTAGGGAGAGAAGAGATAAAGGTTTGGTCTAGAGTACTGGCCACCATCAAAGCTCAAGGTGCCAAGGAGCTGAAACCAGAGGGGGTGGTCCATTACCAGGGATGTTAACAAGCCAGACTCTACCACCCGTCCTCAAAGGACCAACTATAACAATGTGGCCACATCGGGAAGAGGAGCAATTAGGCTCAGTGACAGCTCCCCAAGTCCATCTAGGGGTCCTGATATGAGATTTAGATTTAAATAGAGGGACAGAAGTGCATACAAACAAGCAGCTCTCTCCCATCCTTGACCCATCATCGTCTCTACTGCGGTCTCTCCTGCAAGGTGGCCTGATGCATCCCTCTCGCTGCTTGCAGCCTTCTCCTCCCAGCATGAGAGTCGTGGGGGATCCAGTTTCTTAGGGCCCGTTGCCTCAGTAGTCAGGGGGGGGGGAAGTGTCCTTGAAAATATCTTCATTCCAGTCAGGATGGCTACAACTAGACAGGACCAGTGACCTTGAGCCTGACCCCTGTCCATTGCGCACTTTGACCTGGATGGTCCAGGTTGCTGCTAACTCCAGGGACATCATTCACAGAGGCACCCTGGGCTTCTCTGCCGCTATCTCCCGCGGCTCAGAAGCTCCACACACTAGAGTGAGTGCCGGGCTCACTCCATGCAGATGAAATTGGCCCAGGCAGTCTGGCTGTCTCTAACTGGTCCTCCCAACTCAGCTGCCAGCTCCACCCCCAGGACATTGATGTCTCAGCCTCTGTCACCACTGCACCTGTCATCGCCTCCTGTCTACTGTGAGTGTGGTCACTAATCAGCCTGACCACAAACCACAATGCCCAGATGCTCTGGGTTCATGAATGTCTCGGAGGCAGGGAGAGCGGGTGAGCCCCACTTGAGGGTGATGTCTGAGAGGGGGCCTCTTGGGGAACTGGGATCTCAGAATAGCTTGGGTAGCAGAGGGAGACTGTCTTCTACCCTCCTGTATCACAAGACCCCCTCAGCTCCCCCCACACGTACCTGTACCCTCGGGCCCTGTGTCTGCCACCTGACACACACACACACACACACACACACACACACACACACACACACACACACACCTCCATCTTCTGCAACCTTCTCATCTTCTGGCCATCCTACTCTTTTCCCTCCTCCTACCTCAGGGCCTTTGCACACGTTCTGCTCACTGCCCACAGTTCCTTCCCGCATCCTTTTCTAGTAGGTTCCTCTTCCTGGCCTTTGATGTCCCACCACCTCAAGCAGCCTTCCCTACCACTGTGCCTCATGGCTCGGCCTATACCACCTGTCCATTGACCTGTCTGTTCTCTCTGCTTCTTGCTCACTCTGGGCCTCATGGTGGGGGTGGGTCCTGCACCTGGTTGCACACAGTAGGGGATGGTATATGAATGTCTGGGTCCATGGCTCCCTGTGGTTGTCCTGGTCCTTGTTAGATGGCTCCTGTAGGAATAACAGGAGTTTTGGGGTACCACCTGCATGTTAGAAAAGCATTCCCATGAGAAGGGTCCCTTTGCTAGGATGACCTGCTCTCGGTCTGGCTTCCTGGAGTCCATGTACCACATCCAGCCCTCTTTGGAACTGGGTGGGGGTGGCTTGGGGCAGTTCCCATACAGCTTTAACCAGCAGCGTTTAATTTGCAAGACCCTGCTTGCCTCTCCTAGCCTGTTTATTTAAGAGCTTTGGGTGGCTTTTGTGTTCATTCTTCTTAGCAGCTTCTAGGGGCTCAGAGTTCAGCATCTGAGACTAACCAGGCAAGAAGAAGCATCCTCTTTTGGCCCCTCTGCCTGCTGGGACAGCAGAATTGGACAGCCATGAGTGGGGGTTGGCAGGATGTCAGTGGCCTCATCCATGTATTTGATGATCCCATGATTGGATAGGATTGTGTGTCATGGCTGGGTACCAGAAGGAGCGCCATGATCTGTGAGTCCAGAGGCTCTGTCAAATCCAGGTCCTTCCTTCAGCTACCTCTAGGGCATGCAGAGGTGGCCATGCAGAGAAGCAGTGCAGGGATAATGCTGCCTAGACAGAGTGGCACTCTCCTGCCTGCTGCCCCTGGTGTCCTACATCACTGAGAGTCTGTGTGTGCTCACTGGCCTGGAGGAGCTCTGGGCACAGTGAGGCAGAGTCTCCCTGGCAATGTCAACTACATGACAGGCCTGGGGCATCACAAGCTGTACCTGTATATTTGTGGTATCAGCATGGCCCATAAAGCCACACCTTCTTCCAGCAGAAGCTCCGAGACCTGAATATCTAAGCCCTGACTGCTCAGTGGCCTCCCTTTCTGTCCCAGCTCCAGTCTCAGGCTCTGGCTCCCTGTGTCACTCACCTTTGCACATCAGTCCCTTTGCCAGGTGTGCTGATCCCCCATTCCTCAAGGCCCAGGCCAGCAGGTCACCAACCCTACGGTCACACTTGGACCCTCACAGATGGTTCTCTAAAACAGTGTTTTCCAGCCCTCCTAATGCTGTGACCCTTTAATACAGTTAGTACCTCACGTATGTTGTACTATATATATCATCCATATTATTTCATTGCTACTTCATAACTGTAATTTTGCTATTGGGATAAGTCATACTGTAAATGTCTAATACCTTGTCCATGGGGGTCGCGACCCACAGGTTGAGAACCGCTGCTCTAGTGCATCCTCAGTGCTTGGGTACCCAGGCTAGACTGGCCCTGTAGTGAGCAGCGAGAGTGGAGCACACAGCTTCAGCCTGGCCACAGCTTTCCTGCCTGGAGGGCTGATCAGCTCACTGCTTTTCCTTCTCCTAAAAGTTTCTCTGTCCCTAAGTGACCCATGGCACCCGTGGCCACCAACATCAGCTTAAGATCCCTCAATGGTTCCCAGGGACTCAGGCTGCTGTCCGTGGCCCTCAGACCCAGGTCTTGCCTAGGGAATGGCAGATGGGGAAAGCAACTGCTCAGCTTGGAGCACACATACCACACCCCACCTCTCCCTCACAGCCACAGCCCAGGGTACCAAGCCAGATGCAAGGCATCAAGCCCAGCACACCGGGCACTGGGCACCAGGCCCTGAGTTGGGTTCACTAAGCTCTCCAACGCTGATAACTGTGGCTGTTTTATAGGTTGGGAAACAAGGCTTAGAGAAATCAGATGGCCTGCGCAAGGCACACAGCCAGACCCCTAAACCTAGATACATCTCAGCTCCAGGCTGCTCCTGGGCAGGGTGTAACAGCTGGTTAGCTTCCAGGAGGGCCCAGCCTTGACCTGTCTCTGGCTTGGGGCCAGCCCAGCGCCTCTGGCTGTGAAATCCAGGCTCTGCTGGCTCGGGCAACCTCTGGAGGAGATGCTGCCTGGCCACCACTGTGCTGTGAGGCTATTCTCACTTAACAGTGATTCTCAGCTTCCACCTGCGCCTGAGTGGGGAGGGGCAGTACAAACTGGCGGGTGTGGTGTGCTCAATGCTGCCTTCAGTCGTCCAGTACCGTCTGCTGAGCAAACACGTGCCATGCATATATTATTTGCCATCCCCATTAGGCCTTACACCACACCAAGCCTGCAACTTCGGTGGAGGGATGCCACTGTGTCCCTGGTAAGAGAACAGAGGCACAGTGGACTCAGCAGACTTACGAGGTCTTCCTGTTAAAAAGTGGCAGAGTTGGGGGACACCGTGGAGGAGCCAGATATGGGAATCCGAGCCCGGCTCCTCTACATGTCGACTGTGTGCTGGCTCTGGGTTGACGCACATAGCTGTATGCGTTGCACGCTGTAGAACTCCAGGGGATGTGGGCATACACACAGATCCCTGTTAGTAATGTCGATGCAACTGTGCACTGTGCAGCCTCCAGTCGGGTGCATGGTGTCCCCGTGGTGCGCCTCGGCCATTCACTTCCCATTCTGCACCTTTGCTTCCTCATCTCTTCTGCAGCAGTTTTGACCGTCCAAAGCACCCGCACCATCCTGCTGAGAGTCACCCACTGTCACTTAGGCGGGAATGTTGGCGTTGGAGCCCCGAGGCCAGCTTCTCTCCGTGGGGGGGGGGGGTTACTTCTTACAGCCCTTCCTCTCCCAGGAGGCCCCAGAACCCGGCCACAATGGCTGTGCTCCGTGTCAGGCTGCGAACAAAACTTCCGGGCCTTCAGATTCTGTTTATTTTTGAAAAACAACAAAAAAACCCAAAAAAAGGCAACAGCTGAGTGTGCCAAGACTAAGGCCTTCAGAACTTGGCTGGGCCTGGCCTGGGGGTGGGACTGTTAAGAAACCCCAAATAAACAGAGCTGTTTCCTGGCCCAGCCAAGCCAGTTCATGTGGGAAGCCTATGGTAGGGGCCCTCGTGTGACTCACAGTGACTCATCTGAGAGTGGGGCCCGATTAAAGGGCCATGCCTGGCGGGCCTTGACCTAGTGCCGGGCTAGACTTGCCATTCTAAGATAGCATTCATACTCAGCCTCAGTTTTGGGGGCTGTAAAATGGGCAGTAACCGCTGTCCTGGGGTGGGGGTTCCAAGCCACAAGTTGGGCTGAGCAAGTTCTGTTTTTGTGGGGCTGGTGGCTGCATCCTCCTCCTCCCTCCTTCCAGGAAGCTCATGGGGTTGCCTGCCTGGCTGTGGGATGAGCCAAATAATGTCTCTGTGCCAGGGCACTAGTGCTGGGTGGATGAGGCGTGTATAGTATCTCTTTGGCTCTTCTGTGGTCCTGAGCGTGAAGAGCCAGCCTAAAGCAGTGTGCTGTCCTGGGCCCTGCTCCAGGCCTTGCCATCTTCCCAGTTGCTGTAATTTATTTTAAAACACTGTGAAGAGAAGTCACGTCATGAAACAAGGCTCACATAGGAGGTTTATTGGAAGGGGAGAGAAAAGAGGCAGAGGAGCGGGCACAGGGGCAGAGACTGGCCCCTCGGGACAAGAGTGGCAGAAAAGAAAGAGAAACAGAGAGCAGAGAAAGAGCCGGGAGGTGGGCAAGGCCCAGCTTTTATAAGGAAAAGTAGTGAACGTGCACAGCAGGTGCTCTTAGTGGCTGACTCTCCTGTTAGGACCCCCAAGGGCAGACCAGTACAGATGCCTGAATACCAGTTACTTACCATGTAGAGTCCTAGCTGACAAGGTCCTTTTGAAAGTCAGATTCTCTCTCTGGAACGAAAAGTGGCCTAAGAGCTTGGAGCAGCACCACGGTGGGTCTGCTGACTGACTTGAGCCTCCAGGTCAGCGCCCAACAGCCTGGAGACACAGGGATTGGGAGGCCTTGGCTCCTGCCTCAGTTCTGCCGCTGCCCATAGTGGACCTGGCAGGCCAGGTGGGCAGAGCCTGGGGAGGGGGCTGCAGGTCCTGGAGGTGCCAAGCCCCAGGATGGACCGGGCAGTGAGACAGATGGGGTGTTCTGTTCTCCATGCTCTCCACGAGAAGGGCAGTCACAGGCACGCGGGGCTTAGAGCTCAACCCACTTAGACAACTTTTCTAATTACTTCCTGCCCATCAGGGGCAGCAGAAGACTTTGCCCATACAGAGTCCCTCTGTACACCCTATCTCACCCCAGGCTTCGTCTGTTCCAGCCCTGTTCACACGTTTCCATTCCTGGCTGGTCACTGTCCCTCACTGCTGGCAGATGCCAGGGCTGGGTTCACAAAGGCCGTGGGCAGGCGTGACTGGCTACGCTGCACAGGAGGCCTGGCTGGGAGTTGTTTCATAAGCCTCTATTTCCCCACCTTGACATTTGCGGCTCCATTTCTCCCAGGTTGCCACTGTGGGAGTCAGGGACATTGCCAGGCTGTGTGTGGGGACAGTGCTGGCCCACAATTGTTCCAGAGCACAGGCTTTGGTCTGTACCCCTCTTACAGCTGCTGCTGTGGACACGTTTGTTTGTTTTTTTTCATCCTGTTTGATGGTGTGGAAAACCAGGTTTATGAGGTGGAGGCTCAGCCCCAGAGAGCCATGTAGAGTCCTTTCACATCACCAGGTACCAGGTGGCTTCCTGGGACAGGGAATGTCACTGTTTACATGCTTATCAGTTCACCCAGGATCTGTGAGGGGTCGTCTTCAGACCCACTTCTCAGATGGGAAAGTCAAGGCCCAGAGAGGGTAAGCGACTTGCACAGGACCACAGCTAGAAGACAGCAGGTCTCCAAGTCCTGTGCTCATGCGAGAGCCCATGAACCACCCAGGAGCAGTGCCAAGGAGCATGGTGTCAGAGGCCGGAAACCTGGAGGCCTCAGCACAGGCTCGTGCCACCCACATGCCTCAGGCTTGTGGTCCTGGCAGGCCACAGCCCTGTTGCTGATGGCGGCAGGAATCTGAGCCAGTGATTAAGGTTTGGGGGATGTTTGTGAGCTGCCTGGAAGTAGGCCTGGACTATAGCCAAGTCAGACAAAGGCGGGGTGCTCTATCCACCCAGGAATCTATAGCCCGGCCAATGAGGAAGGGCCTTACAGAGGCCAGATGGGGGTGGCTCAGGAGAGGAGGCCTCGGGGACTTTCACTGCGCCCTTATCTATCAGTACACTGGTCCTTAGGCAGAGACGGGCAAATGGTCAGTTCTGCAACATACTTCTGTCACATGGGAGCAGGCAAGGGCCCAGGGGTGCTGGTTCCCAGCATCAGTCCTGCGCTTCCTGGAGCAAAGATTCAAACCTCTCTATGATTCCTGCTCAACACTGAAGAGTCCGGTGGGGAAAATGTGCAGGGGCTCAACTCCCAGAAGTCCTAGTAACCATTCTCCAGGGCAGGGACTACCATCTCAGATGTCTGGGTATCTCTGCACTTCTGGGGGATGGGGTGCAGAGCATGTCGATATTGGCTTTGAGTCCAGGTAGGGGTCCCTAGCAGGGCCTCTTTCACCCTGGGTCTAGGGGCTGCTGGGAGCCAGCAGGTCTCACTAACACCCTTGGTCCTTGCTGCCAGCGCAGGTCTCCACCAGCTGACCAGCCCGCGGTACAAGTTCAACTTCATCGCCGATGTGGTGGAGAAGATCGCGCCAGCCGTGGTCCATATAGAGCTCTTCCTGAGGTTCGTGGGGGCCTGAGTTACTCTGCAGCTTCCCAGCCATTCCCAGTTGCCCTGCTGCCTACTGCTACCCAAACTAGGCGTGATTCCAGCAGCCAGAGGCACAGGAACAGTGGGGTAGGATGAGTAGCCACTATGAAAACCCGAGGGTTGAAGGTTAGCCTAAAGTGAGAACCCTAGGCGTCTAGGAGCTAGAAACAGGGGACAGTCCACTGAGGTACCAGCCCAACAGGGCAAGTGTGTCTGAATCAGGCATGAGGGAGAATGTGCCAGCTCGTGGCTAGATGCGGAGGAGAGGGAGGACTGACTGAGTGGAGGTGGGTGGATAGGGAAGCAGTTCCGTCTATGGGAAAAGGAAGGCGGCTGTGTGATGTGTGGCCTAGCATCCTGGCAGGATCCCTCTTTACAGACTGGGGTGGAGCCTCTTCCCTTCCTCCCACACCCAGTATTCTGTCCCAGAGATGTTTGTGCTGGATGAGGAGGCCCTGCCTTCCAGACGTACCAGCCAAGGTCCCATCACTCACATCCGGTCCTGAGGTCTCAATTTAGACCCCCTAGAGAGAGGCTGGTTGTGGCAGGAGCCTCAGGACTCTAGACAAAACAATCTCCACCCTTCTCACCCTGCAGCTGAGGGGAGAGAACCAGCTGGGATTGTGGAGCCAGACAGGAGCCCACCTGATAGGGATCAGGGACGCTGGTGAGCGGCTTATTAGTCTGACTCTGGTATGGAGTTGCCTGGTTACTGATGTCAATCATTATCCCCTCCCTCTGTGCTCCATTAATAGTGGCAAAGTCTCACGGTGGCAAGGTGTGTGTGTTGCGGGGGGGGGGGGGCAGTCTATGGCGAGGGAAGAGGATAGACCATACTCATCCAGGGTCTAGCCAGAGCTCTGAACCACATTGGCTCTGAGTCTGCTTCCTTAAGCCATCCTGGGGCTCCTGCTCTTGGAAAAGAGAGGTAGATGGGAATTCAGCCCCTGTGGGACTATGGGACCCTTCTGCTTGCCAGGTCCCTGCTGATATTGACAAATGATATACCTATGCCTCCCAACGCTTTTACACACACACACACACACACACACACACACACACACACACTTACAACCACATCCCACCTGGAACTGAGGTTTGATTTCAGCCTGTCTGACCCTGGAGCAGCTCCCTACCATATCTGATTTTTCCCTGCCCTTGCCTTTGACCCTGGGGTGAAATCCAAGCCACATCATTGAGGAAATTACAAATGAATGTACTAAGAGGCTGTCTCAACCAAAGGGGGCTAAGGAGGGATTGTGTATATCTAGAGGGCCTGGGGCACTAACCCTGAGCTGGTTAATCACAGGCTAAGGCAGCTGGGTATCAGTGATGTCTGGCTTGTGAAGCCAAAGCCTTAAGGGTGGGTAAGGCCCCAGTAGGGCAGATAGCACAGAATCTTCCAGCTGCAACCCTTGACCTGTGAGATCTAGGTTCAGGGCTCTCTTGGTCCCTGTCCGCAGTCTTGAGAAGAGCTGGGTGTAGCAACCCCAAGGCATGGCTGGTGGATGGAAACACTGCTCTGCTCTGCCTCCTGCCTGACTCCAGCACATAGTACCACATCTCTGGACCTCAGGCTCCCCTGAGAGCTTCGTGCAGCCGTGGCTACCTAGGGCTGCGTTACAGAGCCCCACAGACTGCAGGATTAAACAATGAACCTGTTGCCTATCCACCCCGGAGGTTGAGGTCCAAGATCAGGTGTCTGACATCCTACCCAGATCCCAGGCTCACTCTTAACTTCTAGTGGCTCCAAGTTTCCTCAGCTTGGAGTGCATCCTCCCCACCCACATCTCCCTTTTGCCTCTTCCGGCTTCCAGTCTTCTCAAGGTACCAATGCTTGGCCATAGGGTCCCTACTCCATCAGAACGACACAGCCCTGCCACACCTGCAGAGATTCACTGCCAAATGAGGTCACTACTTGATCACATCTGTTTGGAGGACACTGACCCACATGAACTTGTCCCTGGCTTCAGGGAGCACTTAGAATGTTTGCTGCTTTCCCTGGCCTTGACAGGCTGAGGTGACATTTCGGACACTTGGGTTCTTTCATCTGTTTAGTGTTTTCAGGGCCTGTATACTTTTTTTTGTTTTACCCTAAGGAAGGTCCCAAGCTGCTGACCTTTGCCCCCTCCTATCCTGAAAGAAGGGTCAATGCTCCTTAAGCAGACAGACCATTTTCCAGATGGGAAGACAGAGGCTCAGAAGGCCTACAGAGCCTGCCTGAGGGCAGCTAGGTGATGAGTGAGGTTGGACTGGCAGTTAGTGTCCAGGGGCCTACTGTCAGGCATTGGCGCCACTGTGGGCTGGTGCGTGCTGGCATGTCAACAGGTACCGTGTCTCACTGCAGCAAACTGCAGATCAGAGATGATAGTCATATCTTTATGGCCATGAACCGGGTCTAGATTCAATGTTGCCAAGGACACACCCACAAGTGATAGCCTCAGTTCAAACCCCGGTGGTGGAGGGAGTGGACTCCCCCAGGCCAAGGCCTTGCCCTGAATGTCCCCTGTACTTTCCTGTTCAGACACCCTCTGTTTGGCCGGAATGTGCCACTGTCCAGTGGTTCGGGCTTCATCATGTCAGAGGCTGGTTTGATTGTCACCAACGCCCATGTGGTCTCCAGCTCCAACACTGCCTCCGGCCGGCAGCAGCTGAAGGTGCAGCTACAGAATGGGGATGCCTACGAGGCCACCATCCAGGACATTGACAAGAAGTCCGACATCGCCACTATCGTAATCCACCCCAAGGTGACGCCTGTCCCAGCAGTGTCCTCCCCAGACCACACAGCCGTACTATCCCAGCCTTCCCAGAGGATAGCTGTGATCTGAGACCCAGGGCTACTGGCCATGTCAGACTTGGGGCCTCGGAACTGCCCTTGCCCAAGGTTCCAAAACCAGGAGCAAGCAGGACACAGGGGTGAGGGGACAGCATCCACACCTCCGTACCTCTTTACTGTCCTAGCCGGGCCCATATCTGGAGTTCCCTGTCCCTGGGGGCTGACAGACCAGGGAAGTCAGCTTCTACCTTCCACCCCTGTGCCTATACTTTCTCTGGTCACCATATGACCCTTAATGGTCCCCAGTAGCTTCTAGAAGCCCAGGTAGACCAGTTAGTGTTCTCTCTGTTTGTGGCACAGCCCCAGGAGGGAGAACCCTCATTACCTAGAATCTTACAGGAAGAAACAGAACCTTGGGAAGATTAGCATTCTCATCACTTGGAATCTGAGGGGAAACCCAGGCTCAGAGAGATTAGATCACATACCTAAGATCATGGTTAACAGTGGCAGGGCCAGCCTAGATGCAAGGCATCCTCAAAATGGTTTTTATTGCACGCAGTGGTACCATTGCATGGCTCTGGGATGGCCATGGGGCTTCCTGTGTCCCCTGCACCCACCATCAAACATGTCACTGTGCCTTTAGTGAAAGTCAGGCACATTGTTTCCTGTTGATATCTGTGAGTCAGCTGGTGTAGCTATGTGGAGCCTAGCCCTCCTGCATTCAGGTTCTCAGTGTCCATGGTAACAGGTGTTTGCAGCATTCACTACCAAAGTGGAGGATCCATAACGGACTACCCTGTGCAGACGCTCTGTAATCCTGAGCCCTGTCACAGGTCGAGTCTGGGTGCATCCCTTCTTCATAGCACAAAAACCGAGGGTGTATGGGACAGACTGAAGGGCTGAAGTTCAGGAACTCTTCACACTGTGGAGGCCCAACCCCAGCTTCTCTGTGACCAGCATGCAACTCTGCTGCCGTCAGAGTGTCCAGGCTGGGAGAAGCTGTATGCTCACCCATGTGCAGCTGTAAGAAGCGATAGGGCCACACAGGGTGCCACAGCTCATCCAGAGCTCCCTGGGGTTAAGAGCAGAAATGCAGAGGCTGACCAGGGACACTGCCCCGAGGTGCCTGGTAGAGCGTGCCTGGCTTTCATTGGTAGCACAAGCCTGGTGTGGGTGCCTCGGCACCCCCCCTTGGAGCCTCTGAAGCTCAACCTGTGTCCTGCAGCTCCCCAAAACATATGCACACACATCTACCTTCTCAGACCGCAGCAGCCTCAGAGCTGGATAGCTGAGTTCACAGAAAAATGGATATATTCTGCTAGCCCTGTGCAAACCAGTGTTTTATTACCTAGTGTGCCAGAATAAAGTGTTACCTTCCCTGGCCTCAGTTTCCCTGCGTGTCTATATTAGGATATCAAAGATTTCAAACTAGGTTTTCCAGAGCCTTGGTAGAGCTCTGGGGAGCCATATGCCCCTCCTTAGGGCGCCTCTGTTGGGTGCAGCACACCAAGCCTTGGGGTATCTGTAGCTTTCAGCTGACCTGCAGAGCAAACTGTCACCACTAAATCTCAGGCTTAACTGGGCAGTAGCACATGCCTTTAATCACAGCACTTGGGAGACAGAGGCAGGTTGATCTCTGTGAGTTTGAGGCCAGCCTGGTCTACAGAGTGAGATCTAGGTCAGACAGATACATAGAAAGACCTTGTCTCAGAAAACAAACAAAACCCTAACAAACTGCTGGACTCAAGGATGTCAGGGGCCAGGCCTTGGCCTGAGTTCTCTGTCTGTGTGCTCCCCCATGACAGACATTTATGGCCTCCTAAGATAAGCCTTGGTTCTGTGAACTCCAGCCTCAGTCTCAGCCAACTGCTGGCCTGGCTTTAGTTCACATTGGCGACTTGCCTCAGCTTGGTCTCGGGGCTGTGAATCGCCTCCTTCCTCTCCAAAGAGCAGCCTGTCAGGATCCCTCTCTGTGGTCTGAGCCACTGTCCTCTCTCACACCCCTCTTCTCCTTCCAGAAAAAGCTCCCTGTGTTGCTTCTGGGTCACTCAGCAGACCTGCGGCCTGGCGAGTTTGTGGTGGCCATTGGCAGCCCCTTTGCCCTGCAGAACACTGTGACAACGGGAATTGTCAGCACTGCCCAGCGGGATGGCAAGGAGCTGGGCCTTCGGGACTCCGACATGGACTATATCCAGACAGATGCCATCATCAATGTGAGTCCTGTGGGCAAGGCTGACCTCAGTGACCTCTGCCTAGCTTGTTTTCTGTCCCATCATGCAGCACACTATCTAGGAAGACCTTCCATCATCTCATGCAGAGGTTTCACCCAGTGACTGCCTCCCAGAGGACAGCTGCAGAGATGGGGTGGCCCAGTCATACCCCTAGAAGGTCTTAGTCTGCCACACACAGCTTGGCACTTTACTAGGCTTAGAATGGCACACAGCCCCAAGGCTGGGTGCCTTGGTATGTACCCCCTCTGTGTGTTCCATGACTGGTTGATGGAACCATTCATGTCTGTAGAGACTACCAAACCTCAGACACTGCCTGTTCTGCAGGTGCCTAGCAACCTCTGGTGAGTTGTGGAGATACGTAAGTGCACAGTTTGTGCAAAGACCCAGAGGGTCAGTGAGGTAGCTACCTGCTGATGTCTGTGGGGATTGAGCATTGTCTTGTCATTGACTGGACTCAGTGGTGGGGAAGGAGCTTGGGCACCATAAGGGGGTTTGTGGCACAGCTAACACAGTGTTTCCCCCTTTGCAGTATGGGAACTCTGGAGGACCCCTGGTAAACCTGGTAAGTGTCCGCTAAAGTGGAGCGTCTGGTTTTCTGAGGCTTTGATCACCCAGAGGCACAGGTTGGCGGTGGATGCAGCCCTAGGGACTTGCATGTCCAGAGGTCAGTAGTGCAGCTGGGTTGCAGGCCCAGGAAGACCTGAGCACCAGGCCTGTGCTGCCTGGAACCCTCGGGGACAACTGAAAACAGCTGCCAGGCTGGGACCATGTGTTCCATGGTGACACTGGGCAATGGGGGCTCAGATCAGGCTGATATTGCCCGGGACTCTGCTGTCCTCAGTTATAATTTAAGGTGGGAGGAGAGACCACCCTCATGAGCTATGTTACCCTCACTCCTTCCGGAGTCAGGCTCCGCTTCACCCTGGCTGAGATTTTTCCAGAACAGGGCGATGGGTTCAGCTTGGATCCCAGACTCTGAGACTCAGTGTAGCCTGCCTCCAGGAAACCTATCCTTAGAGTGAGTAGTGTCCAGACTTGATGGGAACACGCACTATGGGGGTACCTGAGGCGGCTCTGAAGGGATACAGGCCTCACCCCTGACACAGACCAGGGAGGAATTCCTGGAGATGGGAGCATTTAGTGAGGGTGTGGAGACGAAAGAATGGGGGAGAATGCCAAGGATAAGACAAAGGTCACAGGGCACTGTCAGGGTGGGAGAAGACAGCAGTGGGGCAGCCTGTGGGCTGGGACTGTGTCTAGCTGACACTTAGGTCGCTTGTATAGGTGGCTGTCTCCTCCACACTCAGAATTTTCCAGGAAAACTGCTGAGGGGAGAGGTTCATGCGGTAGGGCCTGGGCTATATTCTTTAGTTTCTGCCCTAGGCCCCAGAGAGCTTCTCTGACCAGCTGGTAGTGCCCTGGTTGGGTTGTCTAGGAAGAGCATCCAGCACCCTCCAATGGCCAGGCAGCTTTTAGGAGGGGTCCTGCCCAGGAGTGGGTTGCATTGACTGGGCCAGCTCCTGCTCTCTTGGCATTGGTCCCATGAATCTGGACAGGGTGGGGACCAAGCTCAAAACAGATTAAAGGCTGCTGCCCTGGCCCCGCTCACTGGTCTCTGCTTTCATGAGGAAGGGACAGAAGGGGCCCACGTCTCTGATGGGATTAGATGATGTTCTGAGTGCAGTAGACACTGCCTCCTAGGGCAGAGGGCTGGGGCTAGTAAGGCAGGCTCAACCCAGTAACTTCTTCCAAAGTAGAAGAGAAGTCCCCAGGATTTGGAGGTTACACAGAGTAGGGGAGTTGTCACTGACCCCAATGTGACCTAGAGAGCCATCTTTCCAGGGTTGCTGGGGGCTGCTTGGGCTATCTCAGTGGGTCACTGGCAGCCAGCTCTGCTCCTGGAAAGGGTGCTCTCTCAGCTCAGCAGCAGCTGGTGACTTGCTTGAATGCCTCCGAGTAACCCCCACATTCTGCCCACCCTGCTCAGGACGGTGAGGTCATCGGCATCAACACGCTCAAGGTCGCAGCTGGCATCTCCTTTGCCATCCCCTCAGATCGCATCACACGCTTCCTCTCTGAGTTTCAAAACAAGCATGTAAAAGGTAAAGAGCTCACTGGAGGGGCAGGTAAGGCGGGGCCCCCAGGACACAGCCCAGGCCCAGCTTAGCCAGGGACCACCTGCAAGGGCTGTGGAAGCCATGTTTACTCCTAAACTGGGCCCTTTACCCTCCCAAGCCAGCAGACCCAGGACTCTCTTAGGGTCTTCCTCCTTGCCTACCAGCTCAGGGCCACATTCACCTCCTCCTTCAGACAGTTTCTTTCCAGGTCCCACCATCCAAGCTTGGACTCCCAGGGCTCTTCTTAGTTGGCAGAAAATTGTGTTTCCTTCCTGCTTGCTGCACGTCCACCCATCCATTCATCCCCCACTCATCTACCCACATCCAACCCTCCTATGCATTCATCTGTTTACTCATTCCCCAGTCTACCCATTCATCCGTATGCCAATCCACCCATCTTTTCTATTTACTGTTCCTTCCCTTCATCCATTTACTATTTACTACTCACCTACTCACTTAACTATTCACCCACCAATCCATCCATCCATCAACCTCGGCTACCACTCTACCCACTAATCTATACATTTATTCACCTGGCCATTCATCTTCCCATCGATCCATCCATCAGTTCATATTTCTACTCACTCATTCGTCCATCCATCCATTCATCCATCTATCCACCTACCCTCCCGTTCACTCATTCACCCATCCACCAGTCTGTCCATTCATCTCTATACCATTGCATCCATTTGTCCATCCTTCCATTTATCTACATGCTCACACTCTGTTCCCTCCACTCTCTCACACGCCCACCCATCCATTCATGCACCCATCAACCCACCCATCCGTGGGTTCATTCACCTGTCCTCCTTCCTCCACGCATTCACCTACCCATCCCTAAGTACCCTTATCAGCCTGTTCAGTTGGCCTAGTAGGGCATCCTCTGTTCCAAAGGAGCAAAGTCCAAGAACCCAATCCATGGGAGTTACCATCTGCCAGTCCCTATCCCCTCATCCCAGTATAAACAGGAATTTCCCATCCCTCTCACCCTTATGGGTGGCCATCTGCATCCCTCTAGGGAGAGGACTTGTCAAGGACAAGCTAGTTCTCCAACTTTTTAGTTGGTGATCATGGCCACGGTTCAGAAAGGGGCCCGCTTCTGATCTTAAGCTGCTGGTGGCCCTCATCATTTTCAGTCCAATGAGCTGCCAGTTGCTGTGTCTCCCACATCCACCTCCTGGCTGATACCCAGGTCTGACCCGGCTCTGCCGCCCACACCCTCTCACACTGCCTCCCTGTCTCTTCCTAGCCCTCTCACCAGCACTACACTAAGAGCAGGGGCCTGCCTCCTGCTTGCTCCTTCCTTTGCGGCCCTGCCAGCCACACACACAGACCCCAGTACAGCGAGACTGGTCCCGTGAAGAACTGCAATTGAGGAGCCTCGTTCTGTTCCAAGTGGCCCTGTGTGAAGATGTCAGGAGCATGCAGAGCCTGTCCCTCCCAAGAATCCGAGGCACCTTCTGGTGACCAGTGGGAACTAGCCACCTTTTCTCTCGGCTCTAGGAAGTTCAGAATTAGCCCAGGGTTCCACCTTTGCTCCATTGGTTGCCTTGGCCCTTTCTCTAGTGACCGGGGCTTTCTCGTTTATCCTGTGTATGGGATCAGAGCTCCATCCACACAGACCGGCCTGTGGGTGACTTCAGTGTTGGACATGGCCCTGTGGCCTCTGTCCCCTTGTCCCCACTTCCACTCTCAGATAAGAACTCACTGGGGCCAGATCTGCTTCTCTGTTGGACAGCAACTGTCCTAGTCATGTGTCCTAGTCACTTACCCTGGGTTTTGGGGACATGCTTACCCCATCCCTAGAGCTGTGTTATCACGTAAGGACAGATCCTACCACCGAACGGTCTGGTTGGGCTTAGCTAAGTAGAGTCTGTTGGCTTAAAGTCCATCTGAAATTTGTGCTTATTTATGCTTTTCTTTTTTAAATAAAAACATTGGATGACCCAAACCTAGCCAATCTAAGTTCTTTAACACATTCCTTTTATTAAATCAGAGAGGCATCTCTTTTCTCATCCAAGGGTTAGTTCAGGAGCCTGGGGAGCCTGGGGAGGGGGGCGGATTCCTGAGTGACCAGTGCAGTACTGTTCAGGGGAGCTGTCCCCTTGGCTGTGAATCAGAAGCTTCAGGGTAACGGGAGAGGCAGGCAGTGGGCAAGGCACACTTCTACCTCCTCAGGTCAACAGATTCCCTTTGAGGAACTTCCCTGCTTGGTGGAGTCCCAGATGAGGAGGTGGCTGGACCTAGGGAGTACATGGGACCTGCCACAGCAGCCGGGGCTGGATAGAAGCATGGGCTGGGCCCTGAGTCAGTGGCAGAGCTGCTGTGCCTCTTTGCATCCTTCTGGGGACAGCCCTGGGAACCTTGACAACCGAGGATGGGCTAGCCTTGGACCCAGAGGTCTGACCTATCCTCAGCTCCTTCCCAAGACTGGGCAATCACAGTAGGTGTATGACTGGCTGAGCTGCCCTGCCTACTCCTAAGTGTGCGTTCAGCCTTCTGAGCAGTCCCTCTAGTCGGGAGGGAAACCTGGAGGAACTTGGGATGATATAACATCTAAATGATGGGCCTGGGCAGAAAATATGGGGAGCAGAGGAGCTCAGGAGATGGGGATGTACCTATCCCAGCAGGATAGGTACTGTGGGCAGTGCAGGATACCCCAACGTCCCAGGAGGCCAATGTGGGGGTGGTACTGAGGAGACTTTCAGAGCAGGGGACCTACATAGGCTCAGTGTTGCGGGGCCTTGGGGAAGGAGTCATGGTAAGTAAGACACGTTGGCTGTTGGGGGGGTCAGTGGCTGAGAGGAGGCAAGAAGACATCAGGGCAGAGTCACCTTCTCACGGTTGAATCAGGCTTTGTTTGAAGGTTGAGACATGGGTTTACTGAAAGGCAATAGGTTTACCAAAAGGAGCCAGGGAGGGGCTTATTGCTGAGTGGGGAGGGAACCAAATGTCGGGGAGCTGTCATGACATTTGGCTGGGTTCGTGTGCCCTGACCTGAGAGAGATCACGGACAGACAAAGGGCAGCTTCCTTAGTGCTGATATTCCTGAGACACAAGGGCTCAGAGACCGGGCTTCTAAAGTTCCTAGAATTACAGCTCCAGGGCGCTGGGTTTGGGGACCCTCTGCGCCTCAGCTCTCCTCGCCGTTCTCCACGTCTCTGCACCCTCTTTGGGCTCTTCATGGTTTTTCGGACTGTAGTATTGTTCTTGGTCATTTTCTTTCAGAGTCTCCCCTCTGTTGATCTCTGGAACTCTTTAGAGCTTTGGGTGTTAGGGTCTATAGCTCTCAATGGCCCTCTGGGGCTCTCAGCTCCCTTTGGAGCTACCGCTCTGAGCTTCGGGTATCAGGGCCCATAGCTCTCAGGGTTCTCTGGGGTTCTCAGCTCCCTTTGGAGCTACTGCTCTGAGCTTTGGGTATCAGGGTCTATAGCTCTCAATGGCCCTCTGGGGCTCTCAGCTCCCTTTGAGGCTACCGCTCTGAGCTTTGGTGTCAGGGTCTGTAGCTCAGGGCTTTCTGGAACACTCCTTGTTGTCTCTTTGCTGTTGTCAACTGGACTGGGAACTTGGGGGGGGGGAGTCTGCTTTTTGTGCAGACAATTCAGCCCACTCTGATAAAGATAAGAAGTAGGCAAAAGACCAGTCAGTTAGAAGCCTTTATAGGGGCTGAGGGATGTGTCCTTATATAGCAAGAAAGAGCATGGTAGGATCCTACCAATCACAGTACACCTTTCTGTCAACCAATCACAAGCCTCTCAAGAGCACAGCTGCTTTTCTGCCAATCACAAGCAATTTGTGATTGACAGCTCCCACAGTCACCAGGGAGGTGCTGCCCCATCCTACTCCATCCCATCCTTGAACTTGTTGAAGACTGCCGTTGCCAGGGCTGAAGTATCTGCGAGAGGGGTTGTGTGGAGGTCACCAAGGCTCCTCGAGGCTGGAGTGAGGCATCCCGGAACTGTCTGGAACTGGCCTGACTGAAGCAAGACCTCCTGGCTCCAGAAGCAGCTGTGGTTGCAGAGGTTCTTGCAGCTGGAAGTCCCCACCCCCACCCCCAAGGACTGTGGAGTGTGCACAACAGCCATACAGGCCGCCAAAGAAGACTTTGCTTGGCTTATAGCCTCTGTTCAAGGCTGTGAGACAGAAGGGCCCGTCAGCTGTCATTCTGAAGACCTAATGGCCTGCTCCTAAACGCTTACCCTGTTTAAAGAAAGAACAAACCCAGAAACACTAAAATCTGCTTTCCTCAAGGAACTTGTATGGGAATTTTAAAGTCACCTGTGTCCCCTGCTTACCCTTGGGGCCAGGCACTCCTCCAACCTGCCTCAGAATGACACTCTCAAATATGGGAAGCCCTTGATGGAGATTTGTCCTTGACATTGTTTGGAGGTGTGTGTGTGTGTGTGTGTGTGTGTGTGTGTGTGTGTGTGTGTATGAGAGAGAGGGGGGGTGGCAAGTTTGGTTTCGTGGTACTTTCTGTAGTCACTGCTGTCTAGGTCCAGAACATTCTTAGGTACCCAACTGTCTCAACCCTTTAAGGGACCCCCTTTCCCTTCCCTACCTCGGGATTCTGTTGCTGATGCCCTGCTGCTCATTAAAGTGGGGGATCCTTGGGGGGCAAAGTGAAGATTCCCACCTGTAGTATAGTCTCTTTCTGTCTGTGCTATGTGCGCCTTACAGAGGTGTTTTCCCCACAGAGATCGGGATTGGAGGGCAGAGCTGATGGATACAATGGACTAGCCCTAGAGAGCCAACAGAACCCCACTACTCCTTCATACCTCAGCTCAGCAGTGTACCTAAATACCCAGCCTCTGTGGTTGGGGCTGGGGTACTGCCAGGTGACCTACAATAGTTGTTCCCTATCTAGGATGTCACTGGCCTCAAAGGTGGCCCCAGGATGCTGCTTTGCCAAGAAAGCATCCCCTATAGGAAAGGGATGAGGCCCCACTCCCTACACCCATGGGAAGCTGAACTTGTGCTTTTTTAACATGGCCTTAGGCTACAGACCAAGTGGAGTTGTCAAAGGAGGGGCATCCTGGATACCCAAGCTTGGGAATCAGGCTTCATCCTGTCCTGATCCAGGTTCCTGGATTTAGTTGGCATCCACAGTGAAGTCCCGCACTCCCCACCTCACCCCCAGCCTCTCCTTGCTTGAGCTGAATGTACATTACTAACAGGACATCGAATGAGTGTCAGAGGCACTGTCCCTAAACCCCACCTGCTGATCTCTCAGTGAAGGGCACTCCCCCATCCTCCCTGAGCCCCATGTCCTTCTGCCACCTATCCGCAAGTCTCCAGGTCCTCCCTCCTGAGCAGATCTGGATAGGTTAGCCCCACAACTACCCTATCACTCAGCATCACCAGCCAGCAGAGCCCTAGTTCACTCTAGTACTGCTCCTGCCACACCATGCCTCCCACAGGCCTCAGAACTGCAATGGAGTGTGTCTGTGGTTCAGGTAGGATCCAGAACCCTTCAGCCCAGTTCCCCGGGGCATTGTTGCTGCTCATTCATCATTTGCTCTGGACAATGGATTGTTCTAGCATCATTTGCTCTAAGGAGTTTGCTTTGTCCACACAAATGGTTTTCCAGATTTACCACAAATTAAGCTGTTCATCCTTGTCCTAGTGCTGCATGGCTTAGCGCCGGTGGCTCTTCCAGGAAGTCCTGAGGTCAGGGGATCTGAGTGCCTATGGCTTTCCCAGAAAGTCCTGAGGTCAGGGGGTCTGAGCGCCTATGGCTCTTTCAGAAAGTCCTGAGGTCAGGGGGTCTGAGCCCTCTGCTCTTCCTCATCATCTCTGCTCTCCAAGCTACCTTGTTCCAGATACTGTTGAGAATCAGCTTGCTGGTTTGTATGGAAGGAAATCAAAAGCCAGATGGTGTTTCAATTAGTGTTTCAATGTGTCTGTCAAAGACTTTGTGGGGAACTGGGGTTTTAACAGTGTTGCAACCTCAGATCCGGGACCACAGCGTCGGGCTTTTCTCAGCGTGTTATACAGAGTATACAGTATACTGGCCAATTTCTGATGGTCTGCTACCAGAATCTACAAGCAAATGTGACGTTGGTATGTTGAATACTTGATAACTCATGGGTTCTAGTAGCTTCTTGGTAGATGTCACTGGGTCTTCTATTGTAGAGGATTGAGTGGGCTATGAATAGAGACAGTTCTTCCATTTTCCGGCTGAATGGCCCACCCCCATTCTCCAAATCGACCAAAATATTGAATAAAGTTTTGGGGAATGGCCTTCCTTGTCCAGTCCCTGCAGGAAGAGGCATTCAGTCTTATGCCAGTAGGCTTACTGCTGGCTAAAGTTATTGTTATTATTATTATTAATCAAGTTGAAAAGTTTCCCTTCTGTTCTGGCTTCTCAAGGGTACACAATGTAAGGATTTGCTCAGTGCTTTCTGCGTGTCTGTTTAACTCATAGTATGTTTTTTCCCTTTTCAGTCCATAATAAAACTAGAATTAGCTGATTCTTATTTTTTATTTTTTTTAAGCATTGGGAATTGAATCCTGGTCAAATACAGGGTAGGCAAGTGCTCACCAATGAGTCATGTTCCCAGCCCTCATCTAACTTTTCATTTTGAGTTAGAGTTTCAGCACATGGCCCAGGCTGGCTTTAAACTCACTTTAAACCTCAGGTAGGTCTTGAACTTGCCACTCACCTGGCTTAGCCTGTGGAGTAACTGGGGCAACAGACCTGTGCCACTAAGTCAGGCTGCTCTTTTTTTTTTTTTTTTCTTAGTTTTTTTTGAGACACGGTTTCTCTGTGTAACAGCCCTAGCTGCTCTGGAACTCGCTCTGTAGACCAGGATGGCCTCAAACTCAGGAGATCCTCCTGCCTCTGCCTCCTGAGTGCAGGCTGATCTTTTAATGTTAAACGATCCCGTACATTCCAGAACTAAATCTTTCTGTTGCAATATATTATATATTTGGTGTGTTGGATCTGATTGCTGTAAGCATTTGAAGCAGTTTTGCTTTTACCAAGACAAGAGGTTGACAGTCTAGTTTCTGGGTTTGGTCAGGGGACACCAGCATCACTTTGAGGTCCTCTAGAGGTATCTGTAGAACTTGGTCTGTTTCTTCCTTAAACCACCAGCTTCAGCGGCAACATCATCTGGGGCTGAGCTCTTTGTGGAAATACTTTTAATTATGCATCCGGCCATCCATTTCTTCTTGAATGAACGTAAGTGGGGCTTTCCAGACCCTGAGCGGTGGAATGCATGGACACAAAGCAGTGGAAAGCTCCCCTTGCAGCCCTGTGTGGTCTGAGGGTCTGCAGCCACACCTCCTCTCTAACTCTTGACGTTGGTAACTATCTAACTATCTGTCTTTTTCTCACCGTCACACTGGGTAACGATTTGTCCATTTTATTGATTTCAGAGGGTTGGAGTTTGGTTCACTAACATCTCTGCTGGGTTGTTTTGTGGCTCATTAGTTCCTATCTTTTTTTCTTCCTTTGAGTTTCACCTGCCACTTTTGCTTTGTTTTTTTCTTGTTTTTAAAGGGAATCTGAAACCAGTGGTTTGAGACTTTCCTCTTTAAATTAAAAAAAATATATTGGGGCTGGAGACATGGTACAGCAGTTAGTTACGGATCTTGCAGAGGATCTGAGTTCAGTTCCCAGCACCCACATGGCCGCTGTCACTCCATTTCCAGGGAACCTTATGCCCTCTTCTGGCCACTGCATGTATGTGATGCACATAATACAGATAAAATACTCATGTGCATAAAACAAAAGTAAATACATCACTTTAAAAATTTTATTATTTCTAAGGGAGCCATGTGTGCCCTGGCATGCATGTAAAGGGGTAGAGGACAGCTTTGTGGGGTCAGATATCTCCTTCCATCTTTATGTGGGCTCTGGAGATCAAGCCCAATTCACCCAGCGTGTACCACAAGAACATTTACCTGCTGAGCCATCTCTCCCGCCTGAGTCCTTTTCTCTGGTCTGGGTGTTCAGTTGTGCTCTTGCTTCTAAGATCAGCCTCTGTGCCCTGAAAGTTTTGGTTAGCGATCGTTTCACTGATGTGGTTGAAGCTGTTCTCTCCTTTCTCCTTGTGTTCTCAGTCACTTACTTCCTAAGCATTTGGGTTTCACAGGCGCTTCCTACTGTTGATTTCTGGTTTAATTCCACTGTGTTCAGAGAATTTTAGCAAATGAAAACCTGAAAGGTGTCAACATTGCTTTGGGTTCGGAACCTTTCCCGTGGTTTCACCACTAGAGCAGCCAGGGGTGGCAGTGGGGAAGGTGAGGGAGGAAAGGGTTTGGGGAGGCTCTTGAAAAGGGCACCTCACTATGATCAGCGTTCTTTGGGCATCGCCAGGTGATGCTGCATTTACACAGAGGGCAGAGAGGTACGAGTTTAAGCCCCAACAAGGTCAGTGGGGCCTCAGCAGTGGGGAACCTGGAGAAGCTGGAGTGAGGAAGGAGTTCAGCGGGGGACAAAGGTGCAGGGCCAAATGAAGGGAGAGAGGGACTAAAGCCACCTGCCAGGAGAAGATTAGAGCCAGACATGTCATGTCGCAGTTCCAGAGAGCAGTCAGGGCAGGGCATCCCCAGGCCCCTGGCTCCCCACCCTACTGAGTCTCCCGTAGGTTCCTTTCTCAAGGGCAGTGACCATGTAGTCTAACGGAACCTACTGTGTGTGCTCCATTTCCAGACTGGAAGAAGCGCTTCATTGGCATCAGGATGCGGACCATCACATCAAGGTGAGCGCCACAGGTGACACCCCTCTGTCCTGTCTTTCCACGAGCTGATTCCACATACTGTCCACTATGCCCAGCTGCTGGCAGGTGCTAGAGGGGTCAGACCCACCACCATTGTCTGATGGATTCCTTCTGTTCCTTCACAACTCTCCTTAGATGCCCCTTCCTCCAGGAAGCCTCCAGAATTTGCTTCCTAGGGGTCCCATGATAAGTAATTCAAACCAGATGGCTTAAAACAACCAAAATAAATTACTTGAGGGTTCTGGAGGAGAGACACTGAAACTGGGGGCCCACAGGCCTCACTCTCTGAGGTTCCGGGGTACATCCTGCCTTTGTGTCTCTACTCCTGGCTGTGAGCGCTCCTCAGCAGGCTGAACCCTCATCCCTGCCTGTCTCCATATGGCTTCTTTCACCCTGTGTCTGAGCCCCAAAACTGCCAGTCACTGGATATGAGAGCTGCCCAGGTCCATGACATCATCTCGAGGTCGCTGACCAACCAAAATGGCAAAGACCTTGTTTCCAAACATGGTCATGTTCTGAGCTCCTAGTGGACACTTCTCGGTCTCCACAGGCCACTTATGTAGGAAAGCCTCCCCTGTTTGCACTCAGCACCTTCCTATGGCACCGTGCCACCCCGCAGTGTTGGAATGACATGTCAGGTGTCCTCCCCAGCCTGCCTGCCACCTTGACTGTGAGTTCCAAGGAGATGGCTGTGTTCCCACCCATCTCTTGGCTCTGGCCCTAGCAGAAGTTCAGAACAGGGCAATTGCCTGGAAATACAGGTGATAACGGGGGTTGGGGAGGAGGGAGGAGGAAAGTCCAGCCCAGTGATATGAAGGAGGCTTCTCTACACTGTGAAGCTCTGTGAAGCAACCACCCCTTGCTTCCTGCTTCAGTAGCTGTCAATCTAGGGAACAAATCTTCAGCAAACTGCAGCTGAGACCAGTATACCAACTCATCTTTATATTGTGTGCCTCCCCAGCCACCCGTCCACTTACCATCTGTCCAGTCTTCTCTGTCCACTCCCTGACCGAAGCATTCTCCACCTTCCCACCCAGTGCCTCCTGTCCTTCCACCCACCCATCTGTCCTTCCTCCCCCACCCTTTCTAACCTGTCCTTCCATCTAGCTGTCCCCTTTCCACACCCACAGCCAGTTGTGGCCGCTGAGCAGCCCTATCTTGTGGGCTCAGGGTGCCCCAAGAGCACACAGGAGGCTGTTTGTCTGGCATGGGTGGTGGCGGAAAGGGAGAGCCACATGCCAGGGAGTTGGGCTGGAGCTAGGGGCTGACACAGAACTGCCTTTCCAGTCTGGTGGAGGAGCTGAAGGCCGCCAACCCAGACTTTCCAGCGGTTAGCAGCGGAATATACGTGCAAGAGGTCGTGCCCAACTCACCTTCTCAGAGGTATGCCCCGCCAGCAGAGGGAGGGCTGTGACACTCAGACACAAGGGGGGGGGGTGTGCTGGGGCCTGGGCTGGGCCTTCTCACTGACCTTATGTGACCCACAAGCCTCCTGGCAAGGAGCTGTGGAGTCGGGAGGGATGAACTGTCCCTGAGAGTATTGGCCACGCCTGTCGTTGGAGCAGAGGGATCTTTCCTTTGCAAAGCAGAGGCTGAAGAGTCCCTGCTTGGGCCAAAAGCTGTCTCCAATCCTCCCTCTCTCCAGAAAGTGCTTTGGCCTCAGTTTTCTCATCTGTAGAAAGGACCTGATTCTGTTAACTCCCCATCCCAAAGACTTTGTCACTGCCAAATGAGATGAAACCTTTGTTTGTTTTTTAAGAACTACAGAAATGTTAGATACAGACCTGGTATGGTGGCACAAGCCTGTGCCCTCAGCATTTGGGAGATAGAATCAGAAGGATTGGGAGTTCAAAGCAAGCCTTAGCTAGATAGAAATCCAGCCTAAGCCAAATGGGACCCTGTCTCAAAAAACCGAAATCCAAATAAACAAAGCAATGTTAAGTATTGGAGCATCATGAGTTGAGGCCATGTGTCCCATGTGGTCATTCCCTGGCATCCTGGCCTCTGTCTCATCCATGCTGTGATGGGTAGGTCCTATCAGTGGTTTTGAACTATGGCTTTGGGATCTAGAGGGACCCCATTGGCATGCAGACTGCTGTGGGGAGGTGGGCCTGCTCCTCCTTCTGCGGTTTGAACGTCACTGGCTACCACATACCATTGGCTTTCCATTGGTGCTCTGTCTCAAAATTATTTTGTTAAACTGCTGCTGCTGAGCCCAGGTGAGCCCTACCTGAGCCCTGAAAGTATGTGCATGCTGAGGGTCTTTCTCCTGGTTGGCAGAGGCGGCATCGAAGACGGCGACATCATCGTCAAAGTCAATGGACGCCCCTTGGTGGACTCCAGTGAGCTGCAGGAGGCTGTCCTGAATGAGTCCCCACTCCTGTTGGAGGTGCGGCGGGGGAATGATGACCTCCTCTTCAGCATCACGCCGGAGGTGGTGATGTGAGGCTACCTTCCTCCAGTGCCGCGCCAAAGCCTACAGAAGGCGGAGTCCCTACCTTCATGAGGTCAGGACGAAGGGCTGCTGTGATCCTCAGCAGGGCCAGCAGGCTCCTCTCTGCGTCGGGGCCTAACCAGGGGTCTGGATCTCAGCCTTGACCCTGAATTCCAGTTCCAATAGAGGAAGCACAGTGTCCCCTGGACCAAAAGCTCCAGATGTCACCTTCTGGGTTCTCTGGATTTAGAAACTCCCAGAAACTTCCTTGAAAGTCTGTCCTTGCCCCAGCTTCCTGCCTGTACCCTCAGGAAGGCCTGCCTAGCTCCCACCCCACCTCCTCTCCCCTAGGTCCCAGTGCCTAGACCTCTCCCCTCACAAAGAATCTTCTGACCCCATCTGGTTCCCTCTGCCTCAGCACCCCCTCATGGTAAGACAGGGGCTGCTTGCCCTGCCACCTGGCATCCCTGGGGGTCAGGCCCTGCAGCTGTGCCCTGGAGAAGTCAGCGTCCTGACCTGGAACAGGTAAATGTTCCCCACTGCCGAGCTGAGCCCTGTGCTGGCCCAGGCAGGCAGGAAGCAGAGTGTCATGATCACAGTCTCCAATTCTGAGAGCTCATTCTCCCAAGGTGACCATCTGGTGGCCAAAGAGGGAGCTGGCACCTGCCTGAGGTGCAAGGACTGAGCCACTTCACCTCTACATGCAGTTCTGGGTGCACCGGCCATCCCTGAAAACTGCCACCCAGCAGCCAGCAGGCTCCTGAGGGCATCTTTGTTCTCCCTAGTGTTTCAAGTGTGTCTGTGAGCTTTGCTGTAAAATTACCCCCATTCCCCATGTTGCTTGTACTGTATGTTTCTCTACTGTACGAAATTAAAGTTTACAAGCACAGAGCTGTCAGCCAGAGAGCTGTTTGCATTCCGCCGACCGGGGTCTTTCTGGGGTTCCACACTGAGTACATCCCTGGTGACAATCTGAGACATGTAAGCGGCCTTTCCAGGTTTATTCAGTGTCACAACTGTTGGGTGGCATGGAACACACCAGATGCCAGGGCTGCCGGCTGCTGTGGGCAACCTTAGGTCAGGCTTCTGGGGACAGTTCCTTCACATCCAGTTTTGAGGTTTTACATTTCCCACCCTGACACTACCCAACTTCTATTGCCATGGGAAACAATAGCAACTAGAAGGGCAAGGCCCCCCCAGTGAGTACCCGAGTCCCTCCCTGCATTCTTGGCCATGTGGCTGAGCTCTGTCTCTGCCCATCCTTTCTTCTTTCTGTTCACAACCACTGCCCACAGCCCACAGTGACTGGAAGCAGGACTCAGTGGGAATTTTCCCAGAGGAAATTCTCTTTGGTGTGAGGCTTTGGAGTTGGAGACCCACAACCACGCTGTTCTGGACCATAGAGTTCAAAAGGATCTGGAACCTTCTAGCTCAACCCACACACAGGGGCAGGATCTGCCCAGCTGGATGACCCAGGCTGCTTCCCTAGCATAAAACTGCAGGCGTTTTGAGTGACCCATTCTAGGGCTCCTGTTCCCCAGCCTCAAACACCCAGACCAGCTTCAGCGTCTGTACTGGGACCCCCTGGAGACAGAGGCCCTAACTTTTGGCAGCTGTGGAGAATGGCTGGTTGTTTGTTATATAGCTAACTAGAAGGGAAGATAGGTGTATACTTCAGTGCTCAGGCAGAAAGGACTAGAAAGGGGCAAAAAAAAAAAAAAGCAACTTTGTAAGGAGTGTGCCTGCTAACCCACTTGCCACTCTCTTGACTTTGGGACATAGGCGCAGGCTACCACAGTATGGCTATCCCAACATCTCCCAACCCATGTCTTATCTCACCTTAGATGCCCATTGGCTACCCACTTCTGTCCGCCCCTTGTCCCAGTACAGCCACCACTAGCATCTTCTGAGAGACCAGACCAGACTTCAGAGCCTGGTTCATGCAGTGTTTGCCCCTCCCAGGCCCTGCTTGCTTCTGTGGAGACCCTGGCACAAAGACATCACAGTTTACCATAAACATTTCAGACCCAGGTCTGTGTTCTGCTGTTCATATCATAAGTTAGTGCCTTCCACGTGGTAAAGAGAGGCTTGGCTCCCCTCAATGTCCATCCCCACCTAAGCTTTAGCACCCCAGCTAAGTCTTCCTTTCTAGGCTATGTCCACCCCATAGCAGTTGAGAGACAGGGGTTCACAGGGCCCTCCTCTCTCAGACACCAACTCAGCCAAGCTACGCTGCCCTGGGTCTGTTTGGACCCCCACTGGCTCTAGCACTGAGACCCCACAAGCCCCTGGGCCCCCCAACAGCCTGACCCAGTACAAGGTGTTGTGGTTACCTCAGTTTCCCCAGCTATAAAGTGAAATTAATATTATTGTCCTGAATGAAAAGGCACACAGGGATTGCCTGGGCTCCAAAGGGCCCCCCACCAGTCTCCCCTCTTACTCTTCCTACCCTACCACTCTCTTCTCTGGCCTCTGGTTGACTTTATATAATAT